GTAATTAAAATAATAATATTTCTTACATTTACACAATTAATGAATGATAATAATTTTAATTACACGTTTCCGTCGTGGTCGTAGTAAGTCAAATGAAAATTTGTCTACGTCGCATTATATAAAATTTTTTTTTTTTTCTCATGACGAGTTAAAACGGATAAAAATAATTTTCATTTATTTTTACTCGATCAAAAAATTTTTCCACGTTGAATTTTTAAAGTTTCGCCATTAAATAAATAAATAAATAAATGAGTCATAATAATAATGATGATGATGATGATGATGATGATGATGATGATGATGGTGTGAATGGTAAAAAAAATAAAAAATAAAAAAAGGTTTTTAAACATTTTGTTTGTTTTGTAACCGAAGTGAATTTCCGACTTTTTTTTTTTTTTCTTAACTTTAAAAGTTCGTTACACCGGATTTTAAGTGTTTTTCCTTGTTTAAAAAAAATTAAATTTAAATTTATCCTCCATTAAATTAAAAAAAAAAAAAAAAAATACGTCGTAAAAAATTGTTAATGCCTCACTAAATTTTTTTATTATATCTCTTTTGATAAAGTTTGGAAAAAAAAAAAACTCAATTGAAAATTTCCAACCGGTTGCGTTATTCTCCGCCGGTTGTTGTTGTCGTTTATATCTAATGTTTCTTTATTCTCTTCAACCCCTCCCCCTTGCTCCCCCTTTCACTCTCCTCCCCCTTTTTCCCTTTTCGTAATTTACGAAAACCAAAAAAAAAAAGAAAATTTTTTTTACCATTCAAATCGAATCATCGGACATTTTGTTTTTATTATTATTATTATTATTCTCTGACTTGATATTTAATTTAATTATAAATAAATAATACATATATTTATATAATGATGATGATGATAATAATAATATAAATAAATAAAAAAACATAAATTTCATTAATTAAATTTTTTTTTTTTTAAATTAATAATTTATTTGACGTTTTTAAAACGGAAATTTTTTTTTTTTTTTTATTTACATTCGGGGGAAAAAAATTTTTTTTTACGATTAATAAATAAATAAATAAATAAAAAAACGCCGCGTAAAATTACGCGTTATAACGCTACGTTTAAAAAATAAATAATAATGATGATGATGATGTTAGTAAATAAACGTATATCTTCGATTATTATATTATTTTTCACTCGTGGCACGTTTTTTTTGCGATAATTAACGTTTATTTTAATATCTTTATTATTATTATTATTTTGTTTCATTTGAACGTGGAGATTTTCCCGGAATGAGTTTTGATGACATTTTTGGAGAAAAATCTCCAGGAAATATTAAAAAACGATGTTGATGATGATAGTGATGGTGATGGTGGTGATGATGGTGGCATCTTACGTCACTTCCGTTTACTTTCAAATTTCATCGTGGTTTTAGTTATCTCGTATAATTTTGTGCTGTCGGTCTCGGGGGGAAAGAATTTTTTTTTTAGTAGTAAAAACGATATATTTAATTATCGATCGATATATCGATGAGAAAAAAAATTTAACGACATGTTATATAGGATTTTGCGGTCGGCGGGTGTTAAAACATAAAAAAAAAATTTATATCGATTAACGTCTAATTAACGACGATAAAAAAAAAAAAAAAAAATTTTTTTTTTTTAACGTCGTTTAATTGAGTTTTTTTTTTAATACTCGAATCGATCGCGATTAAGTCAATCACCTCTCATTAAAAATATTTTATAATTTATTATTATTATTATTATTATCATTATTATCATCGTTAATATGGAGGTTAATGAGATGTGATGGAAAAAATGAAGAGAAAGATTTAAAAAGATATTTACAAAAAAAAAAATGTGAACGCGCGAATGGATTTAAAAAAATCGATTAAAATTTTTATTTTCCCGCCAAAATTTTTTTCAACCGTGAAATTAAATTAAACAAAACAAAACAAAAAAAACTCGATCGTGGTTTTATAATCAAGACGCCATATTTGATTTTTTTGTTTTGTCTTCGGTTCTTTTATTTTTTTCTTGTTCGGAAAACCTGACGGGAAATTTTTTTTTTTTTGTTTTTAAACCTTCGAACGCTTTTTTCTTTAAACTTAACGGTCGCGCCTTTTTTAAAATTATTATTATTATTATTTAACATGTTTCGATACGTCGAAATTATAAAAAAAATTTTATTAGTGGCCAAAATCCAAAAACACAATAAATTAAATTAAATTAATAAAAAAAATTATTAATAATAATAATAATGATTAGGAATTATCGCTTCTGGTTTCACACGCCCGGGAAAAAAAAAAAAATTTTGGGAGGAAAAAATATATGGGGGGGGCGCCCCACGATTTCCGTGCTGAACTTGATCAACTTCTGAAGAGAGAGAAAAATAATAATAATAATAATGATGATGATAATAAATGTGTTGAACACATTTTGTTTGTGTACGATTATTGACGATATACAAGGAAAATGACGTAAGAGGTCTTTTGTGGAGATTTTTAGGAGTGGTCAAAAGGTTAATTAATTAAACATTTCGTACCTGAAAATAATAATAATAATAATTTACACCTGGATTTAAAAAAAAAAAGTATATGAATGTGTGTGTGTGTTTAAATAAAAATCTCACGTTTTTTTTTTTTTCTTTTCATGGGATGTTTTTGATTTATTACGTTTTTTATTTTGGTAAACAATGAATGTCCTTCTACCCCCCCATAATATTAAATTTCGCACCCGAGACTCCCCCCCTTTTTTTTTTAAATAAAAATTCACGGCGAATAAATAAATAAATAAAAATGTCAAAAGTTTAACACGCAAAATTTTTTTTTTTTTGTGTGTATTTAAAATAAATTTTTTGATAATTCCAGTCGATTAATTCAAAAAATCGAATATCGAAAATATTAATACTTTTCATTTATTATTATTATTATTATTAACGAATATTACTACTCACCGAAATTTTCCAGGTTTGATTGCTTCGTTGTTAAACATTCGCGTCGGTGTCGAGAAACGTGAATTTCCTACTCGGACAATTCATCATTTCCGGTTTATTTGTTTTACATCCGTTTGAAACAGTGGCTCCACCAATAATTCCAATACGATCGAAATAATAATAATAATAATAATAATAATAATAATGAAATACGTAAGCATTTATTTGTTTTAAATAAAATGCCCAAAGGGGAAAAGTATTTAAATTAATAATTTTTTTTTTTTTTTAAATCCATTAACGTGTGGGGAGGAGAGGAGGGGGGGTGGGTGGGGGCACCGCCCCACATTGATGATTAATTGAAAGCTTCAAAACGAGTCAAATTGGTTTAGAATCGTGAGAAAAAAAAAAAATTATTAACGGGGTTTTAAAAACGGCAAATGCGACAACAGCTTTAACTTTAATCTATTTTTTTTTTTTTTTTTTTTGATTTTTAATTAATTTTTTTTTTTATTAAATAAATCGTGAATGCCTTGAAAATTTTTTTTGCAAGATGGAGTGAGGGGAGGGAAGGGAGGGGGAGGAAGAAGAAGGGAAATTTTTTTTTTTAAATAAAAATTTTATGCAATTAAATAGCCTCAAAGAAAAAAAAAAAAAATTCACAAAACGAAAAAAAAAAAAGAACCTGATTTAATGCGTACGTATAAAAATACTCGCGTTTCGTAATCCATCTCTCTCTCTATCTCTCTCTCTCTCTCTCTCACTCTTTAAACAAACTAATTAATATCTTATACATAAATATTATTTTGATGTCATTTGATACAGTAATAATAATAATAATAATAATAATAATAACAACTCGCGGTTTTATTTATTTAACATAATCAAACCGCACACCGTTAATTTTAACAGGATTTTAATTAAACAAAAAAAAAAGAAAATTTTTTTTTAATTACTTATTTATTTATTTATTTAAGGAACACATATTTATTAAATATAAACTACCCACACTCACGCGCACGCAACCACGCACGCACATTTAAATAAAATTATCATTATGATTAATTAATTAATTTTAATTTCATTTTTCCAGTCAAAAAAATTAAAAATAAAAAAAAATTTGAGCGATTAATTAAATTCACGTCGAGGGGAAAAATTCGAAGCAAAATAAATAGAAAAACTCATTTTTAATTGAAATCATCATCATCATTATTATTATTATTTAAAACAAGTACAAAATTTTTCTTTTTTTTTCAATAGTGCTCGATTCGAATTTTTTTGTGATTTGTTTCCCTCCGACATTATCCTAACACACACATAAGCGATTTTTAAAAAAATAAATATATATATATATACATAAATAATAATAATAATAATAAAATTTCCTTTTTTTTTTTCTTATTGATAATGATGAGAAATTACAAAAAAAAAAATTTTTTTTATAATTAAATTTGTTTCTTTTTTTTTTTTTTTTTTAAATATACATTAAGTACATTAAAGTTTGTTACGTCATCATATATACAATTTGTACGGTTGAAAATAAAAAGAAATGAATAAAAAAAATTTTTTTTTTTTTTTTTTTTTTGTTCCTTCATTAAAATAATCATTTTTGAAACATTCAACGAATTTTTACTACGCCAATTAAAGGCACTCCATTTACAATTAATAATAATAATAATAATTATTTATGATAAAATTTTGTGACTTATATATATTACTTTAAAAAAATTTTTTTTTCTTCTTAAACTCGACGATGAGAAAAAATAAAATCAAAAAAGTCTTTTCTTTATTATTATTATTATTATTTTTTTTTTTTAAAAATAAAATCAACTATTACTCGATGTAAACGATAAAATAATAATAATAAAAACTGTTTTTAAAATTATCACAGCAGCAGCAGCAGCGAAAACCGGGTTTGAAGAGAGAAAAAAAAAAAAAAAAAAAAAAAAAAAAATTGAAACGACACGTTTTATTTTCCCCCATCCATCGTTCCCTCCATTTTTACTGATTATTTTAAAAACTTTGAAAAATTCTTATTGGAGGATTCAAAAGAAATAAAAAGTAAAATAAAAATTAAAATAAATAAATATGGTTTCTTTTTTTTGTTTCATTGTGAAAATGTGACTCCTCTGTTTCCAGTTCCCCTGTGTCTTTGAGGGCTTCCGTACACGGGTGATTCCCCGAAAGGTCTCACGTACAAATTGTCTTCTGACGGTTGTCCTATCGGATTCGTTGGACAGGGTACCATTCCTTGCCCGTATGGCATCGCAAAATATGATTCGGCAGTGTAATATCCGGTGGGTCTCAACGGTCTAATGTAGTTGCAGTATAAAACTGAAATTAATGATGAAAATTCATTAGTGATGTTTAACATTAATACTTCATCGTATTTTTCCTTTCCAATGCTACTACCTAAACTCGATATGAACAAAACAAATAATCCGACCGTCCATTGAAGCCATTTACTTTGTTCTTCGCTCCCACCCGCAACATTGGGTCCTATGCATCTGATGGGAATTTTTATTTTTTGATCCGTCACTTTTGACCAAACCATGACTGAGAGTTGTGGAGGATCTTCCATCGTCCACCAACTTTCGTCAACCTCAACTCCAAACGATTTACTGTTAAATGTTTCTTCGCCATTGTTTATCGAAATGAGATTTTTGTACTCTGGCAAAACCTATGCCAAAAAAAAAATTAGTAAACTGATATGCAAAAAAAAAAAAATAATAATAATTCTTTTCTTTACTTTTATCTCGATTAGAGTATCTTGTATCCCGATAACGGTCAATACGTCGTTCGGTTTCGATTGAGAAACTTTCAATTCTGTGTTCTGAATAAAAACTCCCGGCAAAATGTTTAAAATTTGAGGGGTGGCCGATATATCTTCTAATAATAATTCCGCATTTATAACAATCGATTCCGTGAGAGTGCTGATTTTTTTCGATGGATTACATACGACGGTTAACTTGCATGAATAATATCCTGTAACGTGTATAAAGTTTTCATTAATATTATTGCGTAAACATTTTTACAAACTTTTTAAACGTATATATATATTGATTTACCCGTTCGTATGTCAAATTCGGGGGAAACTTTGTAAATGCTGCGAATATCCATTGGCGGAATCGGATTATCGAAGCCTACCGTGCATATATACGGAAATGTGGTGACTTTAAAGTTTTCGCTTCCCGCATTGCAGGACCCGTTGTAAGATATGAGATTATTAAATTTGTCGTTAGAATCGACCGAGCTCTTCAACACCAAAGGAATTAAATATTCCGTTCCTAAAACCGTTGAAAGAACTACTTCGGTGGGTAAAAATTCAATCTGTAATTATAAAAAAAAAAAATTTTTTTAAATGAGTAATTTAATGGAAATCAATTCATCAAAGTTCGTTGCGTTTTCTAAACACACCTTTTGTATCGGCATAATTTCCAAAACCGTGGTCAATTTTTTTTTAGATTGATACGAGATTTGTACTTCTCCTAATTTGTTCAGTGCTAAACCGACGGCTATTTCATCGCAAAATTGAATCATGTAAGAATCACTGACGGACCACGCTGTGGCTGGATCTTCTCCGCAAGTCAAAGGCATTCGAAAACATATAACATCACCGACAGTGACTTGCCTCTATAAAAAAAAAAAAGAAAAGAAAAGAAAATTGTAAATATACATCATCTTAATCATTGTTGCAACAATAACTTTAACTTTAACTCTTACGTGGAGTGGAAAAATTATGTCTCCGGTGTGGATTTTCACGTAGTCTGACGGTTTGTGAGGAACTTTATCATCCCAAATTTTCAACATAGAATATCCTTTACTAATAACGGAAACAACAACCGAATTGTTAGTTTCGCCTCTTCCAAAATGCAACGAACCCTTTTTTTGTGTTTAAAAAAAACATTAGAAAAAAATAAAATAACAAAAACTTAGATAAAAAAAAAAAAAATAAATTTCTTACTTTTTGATTAGATTCCAGCAGAATGTTAGATTGTACGGAATCGAATTCATTTCCGAAATTATCATGAAAAGTGACGTAGAAATCAATATCTAAGCCGCTTGGAAGTACTTGGACTTGTTCCGTACTTCTTATTTTCAACTTAGAATCAACGTTAAGCATGATGTAGTGTACAGGTTTGACCTGAAAGGTTTCGTTCAGGTGATTAATCCGATATTGTCGCACACATCGACGGGAGGAAAAATGAATTTACTTACGTCTACGGTCACCGAATGCCACGTTTTCAAACCGAAATCTTCGGTGATTTTAAAAGAAACAGCAACTCGTCCGAAATTGTTGTACGTTTTGGCTTTGCCATTGTCGCTAACGGTGACGACACAATTGGTATTACTGTCGGTATTTTCGTTCGGTCCCGGCAGAGGAGAAACGTAATATTGAATTTTTCCAGAACCGATTCCTTCCCGATTTGTTCTTAAATATGCTTCCGAATCAGCTGATAATATGAGGCTTCTAAAATTCATGTTTGCCGGTTTGAGGAGTTCTAAAGATGGATATATTTCAACAATCAGGCTATCAGTAAAAATACTTTTCCGCACGGTGCCAGAAATTTGCGGAGGAACTTCGACGGTGAGTGTGATTATGACTCGACCGGGCTTTAAAGCTTTGAATCTCATTGTCACCTGATCGCTTTCGGGAACCTGTATTCCCATATCTTGAAAAATTGTTTTTATTTGAGCATTGTTTTCGTTATTTATTTCCCAAAAGAAAAGGAGATCGTATTTCGTGGATCCTAACCGAAGGGAATCCAAATCTTCTGGACAACCTACAGCCCACAGTGGCATTACAGCTCCCTGTACGATTCTTGTTATCGGCGAATGAATCGATACTCCTTTCAGAGGCACGATATTAACTTCGATAAAATCTTCAGAATCAATAACTTTTTCTCCTGTTTCTCTAAGCGTGCTCACGCTTCTCGCTAGAAGCCGAGTTTTCCCAATTTTAATTCCCTCTATGACTCCATCGCAATCCACTTTGGCTAAAGAAGGTTTTTCAATGTGAAATTCCACAAAACCATCAGCGGGTCCATCAAAGGTACTAACCTGAAGAGTGGAACCTACTAACATTGTCACATTCCTGGGATACACCGTCAAACCGGGAAAAACCTGAATTTGAGAAGACTTGCTGTAAACTTCTTGACCGGGGCATCCAGCAGTAAATTTTAAATAAGTGGTTCCAAGTTCTACTCCGTTAACTAAATATTTGACTTCTCCCGGTAAAACATTTTTGTCCTGGTACGGTTTTACTTTAATAATGTTTGATTCTGCCAGCGGCTTTAAACGTATCAATTCGATATCAGGTACAGAATTAAGTTTTTGGCCTATTTCATTGTACAAACTGACAACGGCGGTTATACTTTTTCCTTTTTCAACTTTTTCCATAACATCTAATTTTATGCTTCCAATAGAATAAATTGATACTTCTAATAAAACAGGTTTTGACTCTAAACATAGATCCACTATCGATATGGTAACTTTGCCGACTGATAAAGGTCGAAGTTCAATAAACCTCGTTTCTTCTAAATATTTCAAACTGAGAATATTTTTGATGCTTAAAAGAAAATCGTAAAATCCGGATCCCTGAGATATTTGAACGGTGCCCACTGAACTTTCGTGGTTATATATTTCGGTGGTATTAGGAATAACAATCGTATCGTTGACTAGTATTATGTTTAAGTTAACACATATTTCGGGTGTTTCTAAACGACCCTTTTTATTTTTTTCGGGAAAAGCAGGACATTCGAAAATTACGTCGAATTTTCCAAAATTTTGCTTATTGTAACCTACTACTTTGGCTTTTACGTCTAAGACTCCTGTTCTTCCTTTCGGTTTAATTATTTGATAAAACCGAGAAGGAAATGCAATGCCTTCTTCTTTGATAGTAACTGCTTTCAAAACAGTTGGATTGATTAATTTCGCTAATGAATTATGAGAGAGACTCCATTCTATAAGCAAACTAGATATGTTGTCAAATTTGTTCCCTTGCACATCGTTGACAATTATTTCTAATTCTATGTCTTTGTAATTTTGAGATATTATCCGTTCGGAGCTTAAATGCATCGGACATTTGCTAGCATCAGCCTTTTTGATTACCGGAATTAGGACTAGATACCTAGGTTTGCCACAAATAACGGTTACGTTGACGGATTCTTCAGTCGGCTTGTTATTTGACGCTGGTATTTTATTTATTACTTTTAAATTTAAGGTAACTGTTCCCAGCTTAAGGCAAACTACGTGATAAACGTAAAAATCACGATGTTGTGACTGTGATTTGTCAACTATTTCTTTAAATTCAACAACATCGTTCCAATTTTCTTTCTTTGGATCTATTATATTCGTTAAATAATGAGAATTTTCTGATGGTCTTATGGCCCAGGGTCTAGGACCGCCTACAAAAGCTATATTCCTTGAAGTAGCAACTGCTAATATTGTAGTGCTAGATTTAGGATTAAATACGACTAATTTCCTGTGCGTAGCAATTACGGTGGTAGCTTCTAAGTGTTTGTAATTTACTGACACTTTGGTAGCTCCTGGAGATTTACCGATAAGTGTAATAGAAGCGCAGGATGGGCCAACACGAAAAGAACTGTTACCCGGAATGTAGTCAAAATTATCGTCACTGAGTCCTACATCAAAAGTTAAAGCATCGCATAATGTAAACGGCATTTCTGTGCCACGAATAACTCCATATAATACAATAAATAACTGTATCGGTGTCCCGATTGGAGCCTCCATTATGTAATCTAAAATTTCAATACGAACCGGTTTAGTGATGAAAAATTCTGACGTTCCTTTATTATAGTGATTTTGTGTCATTAAAGCAGATATCACTACATTTCCTTCTTCCAAAGTTTTGACTAAACCCATTTGCGTGACGACAGCAATTGTATTATTAGAACTGGTCCACAAAAAATTCCCATCTCCTCCTGTTACTGTTAATGGAATTTCATATTTGCATTTAGTTTCAGGGTCCCAAGGTAAAAAGACAGCTGGAGGGGAAACTTCTATCGCATTATAAATATGCATAATAGCTTCGGCTGACAAATGATCAGATTTACGCATGGCTCCATTTGAATCTATGACTCCCAGTAAAACAGCTGTTACTTTGGCTTGGCCAGGTTTCAGAGGTATGCCGGCAAAATAAGTTCCGTTGGAGCATAAATTATTAATTTTAAAATATTCTTCGTCAATGAATGATTTAACTTCAACTCTGTCTCCCAAATACATTTTGCGCCCATCTTCGTTGTAAATTTCAACGACTACTTCATAAGTTGTGCCAACAATAACAGCCCATTTTTTAGAAGGTAAAATACTAAGAATGAGTTGGTGAGGAGGAGTCACGTATATAGTTGCAGTGGAGGGTTTGATATCATTCCCAATAGAAGAAATAACGTTTCGGTCAATTAATATAACTTTAGTCTTACAATAAGAAAATCCATAAGCAACACCAGTGTTTGGATTAACCGAAACACACTTTGAATTCTCAGATTGCAGGTAATATTGTTTTGATGGGAAAAATATTTCATTAACTTTTCCATGTTGTACTTGAAATAGTTTGTAGTTAACTTCATCTCCAAGAAGAATGCTGACTTCTGGTGGATTAATTATCAAATTGGTTAAAACCATGAGTTGAACTGAAACAGGTGTCACATCTCTGTATTCATAATAAGGTAAGCAAACAGTGATTGTACATATTCCTGTTTGTACTCCTTCCAACAATATTATATGCCCTTTTAAATCTGTTTTATCAAACTGGGCAACTGAAGGTGGAGTTTCATAAGGTGACTCGTGAAATGGTATATGCCTAACAACATGGCATTCTGAACTTAAATTAGCCTTATTGATTCCAAGATTTCCTGATTGAAAACTCCAACTAAATTCAACTCCTAAAAGTGTACTAAAAGTGTTTCCTAGAAAAAGAAAATGCAATAAGAATGCAGGAACTAAAAAATTAATTTTCGTTTTAGAAAAATCAGATAAAATATAAGTCAAATTTAAATTAGTAAAAAAAAATTGGAAGTAGATTTGAATGAGGTATACAAATTTTCTACTAATAAAATAATCGAAGAAAAATATAACAAAAAGTATTTAAATAGTTCAATAAAAATTTAACTAAAGTAATTTTAATATGATGAAAAGAAAAAATATTATTGCACAAACCCTGATCATCAAATGCTTGAACTTCAAATAATTCAGGAGATTCTTCTAAAAATATTTCACGTGTTGTAGTGAATAAATTTAATGAATGAATAACATCTACGATAACTTCACATCTAAGAATTTGACCAGAATGAACATCTTCAGCAAGGACTGTGTCTGAGTTTCTGTGAAATTCTTTGGTTTTAGCAGAAATAACTACTTCTGAAGAACAACCTAATTCTGGATCTATGTATAATTGCTTAAGACTAAGTATATTTGGTCTAAGAGTTGACCTAAATAGTAAATAAAAAGAATTAAATTATTAAGTAGGTTAAGTAAGATAAAAAATGCTACTATTTTTCTTTTAAAATCACACAAATATTATTTATAATTATGAGTATAACGCTAATAAAATAAAATTTAAAATTTCCTAAATGGAAAAAGACAAATAAATTTGTATGTTTCTTTTAAATTTTTTCAATTATACATAATTTTAATACTTATATGAAAAAATTATAAAAATTTTAAAGTAATCAATATACTCAAAAGTATATTAATGATGAGTAAAACATTTTAAAAACTAAAAGCCGGTATTTTAAATAATACCTACTTACCATTTGTAACAGCCACTATCTTTAACTTCTAATGTAAAATTAGTAGTGAAATCATGAAATAAAGGAAGAAGAACTCTTGGCACATTTAATTTGGAACCTGCTGATAAAGGTGAATAAATTACAGCCAAACATATAGCAATTTTAAAAACGAATAAAAAAGCCATCGCAAATATACAAATTAAACATTTTTTTTCACGTGTTTACGCTTAAAGACCGCGGCATGATTACGAAAACCAACATAAGCTTTTAAAATTTTTGTTAAATTTATGTTGGCCAACTTGTTTTAGTAACCGCCAAAGTTCTCCATTTTTGCTAATGTGTTCCAAACAAGTTTTTTTTTCAATCGTTACTTTTTTAAGAAAATCAACGGTAAATTATTATATATATAAGTTTATTTTTTTATTAAAACTTTTATTTGAACGAATTAATTTTTAGAGTTATGTGTAAATATGTATTTCGTATATTTCGGTTGTGCAAATTTATAAATTGTGCATTTATATTTTAGGTATAATGAAATTTATTTTTTATTTTACTGATTTTAACTTATCATTAATTTATATATACACATTTAATCAAAATTTTACGATTATTTAATTTATTTCATCGTATTAAATTGTATGAAAAACAATAGTAATAATAATATTTTTTGAAACAATTGCTGCAAAATTTTTTTTGGTTTTCTTTTAGCCTTAAGAAAATAAAACAAAACCAAAAAAAAAAAAAACGTAAAAGGTTTTTTCTTTACAATTATAATAAGCTTTATTTGCAGGATTTAACAAAAAAAAGAAATCTACTTTTCATGGTAAATTCAAAAAAGAAAAAGTGTGTCAAGCATGAATTTATTTATTTTATAAACCATAACGATTACATGATAAATTATTTAAAACGAAATATATTGGAATATTTGAATAAAATACAAATGAAATTTAATAGAAATGAATTTTTTATTTTATTTTTATTATTATTGTTTTCCCCTTTTTGTAACAATAACTTTTCAGTGTCTTTTTTTTTTATATTATCATTATCATCATAATAATAAAAATTAAACCTTGAAATGGCTTCCGAACAAACAAATGTATTAAATAACATTGTAAATTTATTTCTATTTAAATAATGTAATTTAATATTCTAAAGTTAAAGTTTTTTTTTTAATTTTTATTTTTATTTTTATCAGCAGTAATAATAATAATAATAAGAAAAGTTTTCTTTTTTTTTACAATTGTAAACATATTTCATTCACACATTTAATTGTGATAATAGTTTTTGTATATAGTATAGTAAAGAATTTTATGAATTCAATTCTATGTAGATTTAAAAAAACAAAAAAGCTATATTTTTTATTATGAATAGAAAATTAAAATTATTTCAATGAAATATATTATAGATCATCTTTTATAAACACTTGCAGTAGATAATGAGTCCATATAGTATCACACACTTAATGTGATGGAGAAATAATTGAATATGACATTTACATAACCTTTACCCAGTTGAACAAAACATAGAAAACATATAAAAGGTGGAGTTTTATTATGATTTCCCATTCGGATTTTATATCAGTTAATTTTATTTTACCACTCAATTGATAATAATAATAATAATAATAATAATAAAAATAATAATTAATTTTTTTTTTTTTCAAATAAAAGATAAATTAAAAATTTATTGTTTCTATTTTTTTATATCAAATATATAAAACATTCAACAAGTTTTCTTATATTATAATTTGATTTTTAAAAAACAATATAATAATAATAATAATAATAAGAATATAAAAAATACAAAATGCATTAATGTGATAATAATATTTATTTGTTTTCACTCTTTTTAATGTTTAATATTATGATGATAAAAAAATTAAATTGAAATTATTTATAATTATTATTATTAAAGAAAATTTTTTTTATATAGAATGCACAATTCGTTTATTATATTTGTATGACTTCGTGTTTTAGGAAAAGAGAGAGAAAGAGGGAAAAAGAGGGAGAGAAAAAAGATGAAGAAAAAAAATGCTTGTTAACAGGAGAGAAGAGCAAATCAATGAAATGTAAGTTTTTTTACCTATTTTTTTTATTTTTTTTTTTGTAAAAAAGGATGGATTATTTTATTTTACGATATTTATATATATATATATATATATATATATATATATATATATGTACAAGTTTGCCATTCATCGAGTAATTACAAACAAACTTTTGGAACGCTATGAAATAGAGAGAGAGAGAGAGAGAATTTTCACTCGAATGATTTTGAATCGAATCTTTAACTATCGTAACTAAGCAATTTAAAATTTATTGCTTTGAATAAAAACCGAAGAAAAGGTGGCTCTTTGGTTGTTTCTTACTTTCTTCTTACTACTACCACTACTACTACTTTCTTTAACATTATCTTTTATACACGTATAATACAACGTTTTTAATACAATGAAAGACTTTCAAAATTGATTTATTTATATAAATTATTTTCTTGAAAAAAAAAAAAAATACACGTGTGTGCGTGTTATATATATATATATTTATATAATTTTTTTTTTTTTTTAGTCTTTATCGAAAAGTTTTTAAATTTAAATTTCGTAAAATTTTTATATAAAAGATTTTAATTTAATTTTAATATGTGTATATATAAAAGATAAACTTTTAAGTAAATATTGATTGATTTAAATTTTGTACAAAGTGCACTTTGTCAAATTTAAAATTTTTTTTTAAAATGTCACGTCGAGTAAATATTTTAATTTGAAATGCATAATGTGGTATCGCGATGTGATAAAAAACTTTTAGAGTAATATTACTATTACTACGTAATTACAAAATTTATAATAATTTATAAAAATGATTGATGAATGAGTTTTTAGAAAGTTATCAAAAAAAAAAAAAAAAGAAATTTAAAAAAAAAATGATTTAAAATGAAAATAATATAAATTTTCCTTATTTTAACGTTTTTCTTTCTGTACGTTGGAAAAAGTTTTCTATTAATTGATTTAAAAGGAAATGATCCCTTTGAACATTATCACGTTAATAATACTCGGTTGAATATTGGGGTTGTTTTCCTTTTGTGTTAAATATAAAAAACACAGAGAATCCTATGGTCAACTTTTATCTAAATAAAGGTTTTTATAAAAGGAAGAAAAACCTTTTTTTAAGGTTAACACAAAAACTTTTAACTTCGAGGTACTACAAGTCCCTGCCTGCCTGTCTACCTGCCTGCCTTCCTGCCTTCCTGTCTGCTTCTTTGTATATTTGTTATTTTTGTTTTAATCAATTTTTTCCTTTTATTTTTCATATTATCTCGTCAATTCGTTTAAATATCTCTTATTAGTTTCTATCTTTTAATATTTATTTATATTTTACTTTATTTATTTATTATTATTATTATTATTATTATTAATTTTTTTTTATTTAATAATCGAGTTATTAATTTTTAAAAAAATTTTATGTCTGTGTGGTTACAATGGCGATGACATAGACGATGGTGACGTTTGAAAAAAAAAAAAAAGAAAAATTATTACTTTTTCTTTTTTTATTTTCTCTCTCTATCTCTTTCTCTTTCCCTCTCTTTCTCTTTCAAGAAGGAAACGTTTTTCCGTCAAATTCGAAAGTCAGTGATTGGGCTCATTCTTGGTTTCTAATAAATTGAATTAGTAAATTCTCTTTTGATCTGATTTAGACTTTTCATTCAGAATCAAAAACATTTGATTAGGAAGGTTCTGGAAAAACGTCGCTGATAGCAAATTCAAAATTTCTTTAACTTTTACTCCTGATTAAATTACTAATGCTGCGTACAACAGAAAATTCTCTTTCAGCAACCAAGTTTCTTTTAGTTTTTTATTTTTATTTTTATTTTTTTTTTGCGCTCAATGATATAAAATTTCGTAAATAAATAAAAAAAAAAATTTTTTTTCTTTTCTTTTCTTTTTTTTTTTTAAAAAAAAAATATTAGTTAGTAGAAACTTTTTTTTTCTATTATTATTATTATTATTATTATTATTATTATTACGTATTATTGTATAAAATAGAAAAAAGATCTCAAAACAAAAAAATCGACACATACGTGACTGAGCCTATTATTATTTTGTAAACAACAAACGAGTGACAAAAAATAACAGGGAACCACATTATAAAAAAAAGGATAAAATAGTTTAAATATTAAAATGCAAAACGAAAAAAAATTCCGGGAGCCATTTTCAAAGTAGGATTTAAGGAAAATTTTGGGAAAATTCATGAGAAACAAATGAAAAAGTACGAGGAAAATCATTAAATGTATATTTTCACCTTGTGTTTGTTGCATTTTATAAAAAAAAAAAATTTACACGTTATTTCACGTGGAGAAAAAGGAAAATTTTAATGATAATAATAATAATACCATTCGTAAATTAATAATCGATAATATTTTATTTTTTTTATAAATCTCAATCGTAAAAAAAAATTTATTAATAATTTTACTTAATGTTTATCGAATAATACGACGACGATGACGACGACGACGACGACGATGACGATGACGATGACGACGACAATAGAAACTTTTCTTTTCTTTTTTTTTTTTTATTTACTTAATTTAATTTAATTTAATTTTAAAAAAAATAAAATAAAATAAAAGGCATCGTTGAGTGCAGGGTCGACATTTGATGGAATATTTAATCCTGGTTTTGACTTAAACCCAAGGCAGCTGTTAAGAATGGAAGGAAAGAAATTTTTGCATGAGTGAATTTTCTCGTTTTCTCGGAGAAAACCAAAATTTTCTCTTCTTGAGAAATGTTAAGAGGTTCTTTTTCCTTTCTTCACTCTCTCTCTCTCTCTCTCTCTCTCTCTCTCTCTTACTACTTACTCTCTTGGCCTTTTTCTCTAACCGGCAACAATAATATCCCACATTATCATTCCTTCAACATGACTAGTTAAATTTATTTTTCAATTAATGTGTAACAAAGAGATGCAAAAATTTTATTATTATTATTATTATTAATATTTCTTTTTTTTTATTTAATGAAAATGAAGAATTTTAAAGGCGTGGGTTGGGATGGGAGGGGGAGTAGGAGGAGAAAGAGAAAAACGGAAACGAATAAGATTTAAAATATAAAAGAAAATGGCTTTTGTGTTTAATATATATATTTTGATCAATTTTCAAAACGAAAATGAAATTAATAATGATTGTGAACGATGATAAT